ATTATTATTTACACCCCTAGCAAAGGTGGTGAGTAACTAGATTTAGTCAGTTACTTTAACAATATTCTTATGAAATGCAGCTACTTCTACTTGAGCTAAACAGTAGATATTTTCAGTGGAAGTTCTTTACCCTGCTCTAAACATTTATACGCACATTTATAAGGACTGATTTTAGAAGTTTTATATTGTCAATATAGATCAGGAAAAGTATTTCTCCAACAGGAATTAATTTTTTTTAGTCATTTCTATGTATTTTTGTCTTTAACCAGAGGTTGCAGATAAAGTCTGACAGCATCATTTCTCAACAATAAATAAGAGGCAATGGTCCAAAAATTAGTCTGTACTTAAGTAATCTTTTTAGCATATACTTTACACTTTTTTGGTGAATAAATGCTGACGTGGTGCAACTTTTACTGAGGTTCAATGTTAATGTACCTTTCCAACCATTGGTTTTGGGTGATAATTTAAATTCAGGGTTTATTTTCCCTGCTCTTTATTTCAAATAGGTGACTGGACTAATATGAAAGCCTGTATTGTGATACACTTTTCAGCCATATTACACAGGCATTTATTGAGTATAATGGGTTGGATTTAATAAGGCTAAAATAAGAGCAACCCCCCCCCATGTCTTACAGGCCTTCTCTTTCAGCAGCTGCACTTGCTGTTTCAGGTACTCGATGATCTGGTCGGCCTCGGCGGCTCGCTGCTCCAGCCTCAACAAAGGATTGGGACTCGACATCTTGATGAGCGAACGGGCTAAAAACCTAAAAAACAACAACAGACAAACAGCGGTGTTTGTGAAACTAAATGCCATCTGCAGACCGGAGAGGCTGAAGGAGCTTAAAGGAAAAAAATAAATAAAACAAAGTGTTTGGACTTGTAGTAAACAGCTGCACACAGAGAGGTTCCAGTTAGAGTCACAGAGCTGTGTACAAACAGAAGCAAAAGATGAATATTTGAGCTCCAAAGTTAGCACAAAACGACCACAGAGTCACTTCCACTGATTCCATGCAGTCTCAACAAAAACAGAATACTGTAATTTCCCCATTATTGGTCAGACTCTGCAGGATTATATAATAGTCATCATCATAACTGAAATCTGCTAAATTGAAGAGTGATATATGCATGTATTTAGGCCCGCCTAATATTAAGAAAAACATGCGATATGAGCTCACATTGGTGAATGTTGCGATCAGGATTTGATTTGTGATTAAAAAACGACAATAGCCACAGTTTCAATGTCGTCCTTTGGGTGTTAGACCCCAGACTTTGGTTACGTTCACACTACAGGCTTTAATGCTCAATTCAGATATTTTTTTTGTGAAATCAACTTTTTTGCATTGCTATTCACATTTCCAAATATATGAGACTTGTATGTGATCTCCTGTGTGAACTGAAGTCATAAAACGCAAGTGTCCTGCATGTGCAGTAGAGGATGCAATGCCATCACAGGCCAGCATGCTCTGTGTTTACGGCAATAAACATGGATGGTAGTGCCGGAGCGCATTTAGCAATCTTTCCCAACCATAAAAATGAAATCTTTTCAAGATGGTTAAACATAAATTCTGCTCTCCACATCATCGTCTGCAATGGTTGTTGTTTTTCTTGCCGCTTTATGGTAGCAAGACCCAGAATAGTGACCTTTGTATTAATGGCGTTCAGGTCGGATGAATGCGACCTGGCCGTTCACACACAGGTCGCATTTGAAAATATCAGATTTGCATCGAATTCATGACCACATAGCAACGTGATTTGGGTCGCATTGGAAAAAATAAAAAATCGGATCTGTGTTGTTCAGACAGCCATGAAATGATCAGATCCAGGTCGCATATGGGCCCAAAAATCAGATTTGGGTCACTTCAGGCTGCGGTGTGAACATAGCCTATGAGTGGTCAATACAGAAACTGGAATAAAAAAAATAAAAAAACATTTCCATCCATTAATGACAAAGTTTTCAAGATGAGTTGCTTCTGGCTTTCATCTGCTGTTTTGGCATCAATTTAGCTGCAGATTCTGAGCAACTCGATCACCTTATTAGCTCTCTATCTTCTACGACCTTTGAACTTGCGTTACGCAAAGTGTGGCACATAATAAATTGCAGCCAGAGAGAAGGAGCTAACATGTATTGGACTGAGGAGAGGGATGGGAACTGTTATGATGTTTTAGGAGCAGCTTGCAGAGCAGTTTGAGTTTGGGGGATGCTGCTCCTTTATGGAATAATGGACTCGAGGAAAGATTTCCAACCGGCGAGAGAAAAAAAATTGGACAGATTTATATATATATATATTTTTTTTGCAAAGCTGCAGAGTGGAGGAGAAAACGTCTCAGATATATTACAGGAAGGCACAGAGAAACAAAAGCTGGCCGAAGATGAAAACTGAGGAAATTAAAAACACAAAAGAGCTGGAGTTGATCAAATCAGGGATCAAAGGAGAAACTGATCTGAATTAAACGGCTCCAGTGGGGAAGACATAATAAAAGATCAACAAAAAAAGAAACGACTGAACCTTCGGAAAGCTGAAATGTGCATTATTGGTTCTGTTACTGCACAGCGAAGAATCAGGCCACACAGGCGGTTTGAGTTAAACATGCAGATCTATGCTAGGATGTTTAAGTGTCTTCAGTTTTATGGTTCATTTCCTGAGCAGAAACATTCAGTAGGAAAGCACAAAACAATCAGTTTTCCAGGCAGATGATTGTAAATAGTGCCAGCACCACCTGAAGGCCTCAGGAGGCTCGACATGTTTCCATTTAAGAGACGCTCAGAGAGGCTGTTCTAGAATATACTGGATGTTGAGAAGTCTAATTTAATCCAAAGGATGATGTTCAGGCTATTGCTGATGAAATTAGACAGTGTAAGGCAGAAACAAATAACAGATACAGTGCAGAATGCTCTTAGATCATCACAATTTCCAGGTTCCATCTCTATTATGTAATTAATTTTGACTAAACAATAACTAAACTAACTCCATAACTATGATTACAATTTATAAATGCAACAAGATTGAATTGATGGCTAGATTACATCATTAACATCTGTAGATAATTGATATTGGAACATCTAAATCAAGAGGTGGTTATGATGCTTCTGTGGATATAAAAGCGTTTTTCTCTTAAAAAAGGATTGATTTTTCTTTTTTCTTTTAAAACTCTAAAGCAGGGGTCTTCAATGTTTTCCAGGCAAAAGGACCCCCAAACTGATGTTGAGATGGAGCAGGGACCCCATAATTATATATATATTGTATCAACCTGGTCCTATAATCACTCTGTTACAGATGGAGTCATGTAATGAAAGTAATTTCTCCCTGGGATTATTAAAATATATCTGATTCTGATTCCTGGTTGATGGGACAGGTGTTGTGAATGAAACGGTGCCCAGTTTGAAAGAGCTCCTGTATGGTACTGAATGTGTACATTGATGACTGAAATTATGTTTACTACAGTGTGTTGAATTCATGTTAATGTGTATTTAAAGACATCTCAATTAGTGGAAAAAAATTGCAGGGAGGAATATAAAAAACTTTTGTGACCTCCATGCAGTACCTCTGTAGACCCCCTAGGGTTCACGGACCCCCTGTTGAAGACCTCCGCTGTAAAGCATTTTGCAGGCATGAAAGCTGCATGAGTCATATAACACAAACACTCATTGGTTAGCTAAAGGAAATCATCAGAAGTAAGCAGGAAGCGTGAATTGTCTAAGCCATGCTACAATGTCGGATTCAAAAAAAAAGATGTTAAAATGTCTGAAAGGTCGGACACAGGCGAGAGCGTATCGGGAGATGGAGACGGAGACCAACAAGACCTCCCTCATCCTTGGCCCTATCTCAAAGAATTTTTCAAAATAGTCGAAAAATTAAGCTTTCAATTCATATAGTGGCGTCTGGCTGTTTTTTTAAAGGTTACTTTATACTTTTATACTTTAAGTAGTTTTTGGAGCACATACTTTTTCACTTTTACTTGAGTAAAGAGGTCAAGTTAATACTTCAACTTTTATCAGAGTGTTTTTAAGCTGCAGTATCTATACCTCTACTTAAGTAACAAATGTCTGTACTTTTGACACCACTGCCTAAAAGGAATAGGAATGTTTCAGCCGCTGCGTTTTTATCTAAATTTTCTCCTTGTGTCATTATTTCCCTCTCAGTTATCACTCAAACTATCTGAATTTAAGTTAATTTCAAATTGACTCTTAGTTTATTTACTGTTTTTACTGTACTTATTGTTTAAAAATTGTTTTTAATAACCTAATCCACAAACATCCTCATTTCCCCCTAAATTTTTACCTTATACGTTTACATTATTTATTGGCTGAGTCTAAAAATATCAAGGATATTTTCAATTTAAACACAGATATGAAATAATACAATATAACCTACAATAAATTATATCATTTACTAGGTCATGAAATCAATTCAGTTTAGTATGTCAAATCAGCTGACTGCAGTGTCTTTAAATGTCCAGCAGGTGTCAGTATTCTGCGAGACAGTATCAATGCAGCATCAATACAGTTTGGCTTCAAGATGCCTCATTAACCATCATTAGCATTTGATTCAGACGTTATGGAAAAGGGGTTTATCTAAAAGATTCAGGCAGGTGTTGAACTTTAACCTTTCCAAGACTGATGCACATCAACAGTTGCATCTTTCAGGGAATCAAACAGTTATGCTTAATAAACTTCATGCCATGTTCCCTCCTAAATCTTATAGAAGCAGGTGTTTTTCATCCAAACATTTCCTTTTTGGCATCATAGTTTTAGAAGAAATAGATCCAAGGAAATGTTTTGATCATCATCCAAAGCTGAGAATATGTTTTATTATTTTCACCTCGGTCTAAGCAAAACCAGCTCAAATATGGAAGCCCACAGATGTAAATATTTATGACAGCTTTACATAAAACAATATCAATCTAATATAAATAATTCATTATATCTGATAATACTTAATTCTACAAAAAATTGTGTGTTATTATGCGGGGTAAGTGCTGTAACGTGAAGAGATACTGTCCTAAAAATACTTATTACATTATTAGGACTTTGATATGCCTGTTTTAAAGTAACGTTTGTTAAAACATATTCACGTTTATATTAAATTATAAGATAGGAAACCAGATCAAATGACTCTTATTAAGATGGTGTCTTTGTTGTTGTATTTTTAAAATAACGATCAAATTAAGTTTGAGCCCTGCTTCACGTGCTATAATGGGCAACGTCAGCTAAATGTTTCAGTTTCAACTACCTTTAGTCGTAAACGTGGTAAAGTGAAGGTCATAAAAGACTTGCCATACTACAGCCATTTGTGTTGGAGCAAAGACGAAACTAAATTAAAGCAACAAAAAACTTACATGAACCAAAGCAATCCCAACACGTTTTGGGGAGAGCAGGAGCCGCACAGCTAGCTTGTAGCTGAATTACAGACAGGCAGAGCGCAAGCAGCTCTGTGAGGTCCCCGGCAAGCTCAGATCTCCATAGCATCCGGATAAAAAAGAAGTTAATCTGTGAATTTTTATTGGTTGCATCCATATACTATATAGATTTACAAGTGCCGGCTGACATGCCTTTTATTTTTATCTCAGTTTGTAGAAATAAGTCACCTATAAAAGGAAAATGAAAATACGAAACAACTTTAATGACAACGCAAATTCACAGTTTCTCTGCATTTTGTAGCAGAAAAAATGTAATCCGTTACGTTTACTTCTATCATTGAAATGTCCACTGAGACAAAGCATGGTGGTGGTAGCATCACACAGAGAGGCTGTTACATTCAATACAGTGGGATGCCCACTTTCCTCACATATACTGTACAGTTAGGTGTTAGGTTTAGGGGCAAGGTGGGATTTCAGTTTAGTTTTAGGTGTTAACTAATCATGTTTAGGGTCTAATGTAGGGCCATAGCAATGAATGGAAAATACATCAATGTTAATATAGAGATAGATAATAAGATGTGTGTAGTTTTAGCATCCAGGACAGATATGGCTGTCCCATGCTTTATTTACTTTGGTTTAATAAATGTTTGAATCTGTATTTCAGTTAAAAATAAAAAACGTTAAGGTTCCTCTAAGCACTGAAAATAAAGTTGTTATAGTTATTATTAAATATTCTTCTAATAACTGGGAACTTAGTGACTTGAACTCCCTCAGTTGATGATTAGAACTTATACCACTGGCGAATTGTGGTGACAGACATTATTCTTGATATAACTCCTGGAGATTGTATCAAAATAAAGAGATAGGTTGCTGTGAAATCAAACATATTTAATAAACATTAATCACATTTTTATTAATCCATTAGTGTGGTTTAAACTTTACCAAGTCTTATGGTTTATATTCAGTTTAACCTGAATAAAGTAATCAAATAAAAATGATGTGAAAGAAGAAAAAAGGGATAAAAAAATCTGACTAAACAGCGATCGGTGTCAGAGCAAAGAAACTCAAAATATAAACCTCCACAACAGGAAATAACTCCGTTAACTAAAGATATAATGTAGCTGTTAATCCAGGGAAGGCTGTGGGTTGAGGTTCAACGCAAAGCTCAGGCTGCATCAGTTACCAGGACGATTGGAGAAAATAAAAAAAAACTTCAGCAACAATCAAGTGAATAATGCAGAGAAGCGGAGTGCCCTGGTAATCTACTGATTACTCCAACAGAGCAGGTTTCAATGCACTGCATGACATCACAAGTTTTACCATTTACCTCATACTATTAGGAAACTACCAGATACTAAATCTTTACCATAATAATGCGAACCTAAAACCAGCACAGGACTCAGCATTAGCTGCTCTGACACAACGCAGAAAGCTGCATGCTCCAATCTCATGGTAAACAGTTTCCCAGAAGATCGAGGAGAGTAACTCCAAAATAATAAAGTTGTCAATGACTTCAGCTTATTGATTATTGTAATAACAAAATGTTATTGTTCTTTGTTATGTATATCTATGTCAAAATGAGGTAAATTCGTTACATAAGTCTTTGAATTTGTAAATGAAAGTCAATGATAATAAAAAAAAAATAATTAAGATTTGTACTTGTTTTATAGAGAACTAGCAACCTGGTTAGATACCTAAATAGACGGACAGATAGAATGTATTTAAAAAAGAAATATTTGTTTTTTAAAATATTACTTAACTGGACGTAGTAAGTATAACAGAGCAGGAACCTATTTTATTACTGAGTATAAAAAAAGGATAAATAAAATATGTAAACTGACATAGGGCTCCTTGTTTAGTGTAATTCAGCATCCAGCATGTATAATGTCTGTGTATTGTCTTTCGGTGTGTTTTTATCTTCTTGGATGGGCTGTATTTAAACTGAATTTCGATTAATAATTTATAATTGAATTGATTTGAACTGAGAGCAACCAAAAGTTTAAAAGCTAGGCTAACATCAGAGGTTATGGCCGCTCTCAGAGGGAAAAAAATGTGGCTCCATGAAGTGCAGAAATACACTAAATCCTTCTCCCACTACTGCGCTCATCGCTAGTTTAATACAAACGATCTTAGTAATGCGCTGCAATTTATTTGCATCACATCCTCACCTTTAGAACACATCAAAAAAGTGACGCTGCTCCTCCATGCAGCACGGCTAAATAGCCGCTATTTAGATGGTAACTTAAGATGCTTATACAGCATTTATATTTACAAACAGAAGCACATAAAGTTCATTTGGCATCCTTTGTCATCATTAAACAGTGTAAACGATCACAGACCGGAATCTGAAACGACTCCACTTCCTGTATGTGTGTTCATGTATTTCTAAGATAATTAACATATTATAATACAGTATAATCTGCTTTGAACCAAGTGCAGGAGTCTGGAGGCAGTTTCATTCAGAATGTTTTTTATTTCAATTAAAAACCCTTCGAGCTTTCTCACAGCAAACAACTGTAATATTGTTGTGTCAAAAAGACCTTAATAACTGGCATAATTAAGTCCAGTACACCAACATTATATCAAATTATGAATCTTTTAAGGAATACAAAAATAATTATACACAGAAATATAAACCACAACTGACCTGCAGCTGTGGAGCAATAAAAACATGTTTGTTTTTTATTTTACAAAAGATCATTTCAACTGTTAAATAAACACTTGCAAATGCTTCAACCTGGGGCCCGCTCTCAGTAACATACAGTGTTCAGTTTATATATAAGGCATGGTGGGGACAGCAGTTAAGTCATATTAAAGGAGGAGGCCTGAGCATCTCCAAACTTCATATCCATCTTGAACAAACCTGCATAAATCTTTCTGAATCTTTCCAAGCTTCCTCAAAAGTCCCTCCAAACAAAACATCAGACATCCTCTAATCTTCCTTTATATACCTACTAGATACCCTGACCAACCATAACTGCAGTGCCTCCCTATTCCACCTGCAGGCAGTTCCCATTGCTGATGTCAGCCTGGCTGCAGAGGTTGAGGTTGTCCACCTTCCTGTAGACGAAGTGGAAGACCTGCGCAAGGGGCCGGCTGTGCAGCTCTGCTTTGATCTGCTGGGGGTGGGTGTCTGGAGCGAGCTGCTGGCTCATGTCCTCGGTGATCAGGAACAGGGCGTAGTTCTCAGGGTCCGGTACCTTGAACTTAAAGGCGCAGAGGGAGCAGACCTCCTCCGCTGTGCTGTACGGCTGAACCTGCAGGGTTTTAGCCGTGCAGCCTGAGCCCACCTCCTGCAGAGCGACCCGGAGAAAGTTCTGTGGAGGAAAAAAACAAATCACGTTTATCTTCTGAAGGAGAAATGAAGTAGAAGGATGTGGGGTCTGTGCTCTGTTAAAACAAGCAAAAGTATTCTGTTCACCACTAGCAGTACAACCTCCCCACATCATGCTGCTACCACCACCATGCTTGGCAGTGGAGGCAAGATTATGTCATTGAAGGCTTAAATTTGCCTTTCTTCTCATTTTAGCCAAGCAGCCAAATTTGATTTGTCTTTGCTACTTTTTTTTCTGTCAGATATAATCTGTCATTTGAAACTTATGTAAAATTGTTACTTGTTTTAAGTTTATTGCAGTAGTTCTGGGAATGTTCCTGAGGGGGACAGTTTTGGTCAAAGTTTTGCACACAGGTCAGTTCCAACAGTAAAATAACCCTAAAAACCTCCAAACTGGTTTTGAAATATGCTGTTGAAAATTCTCAGTCATCCAGGTCATAGTCATTCCAAAAAACAAACACCCATTTCCTTGTCTTTTTTTTCCAGTTTTGAGGCGTTTTGGTTTTTCTTCCGGGAGGTTTTTTTAGGAATGGTTTTGGACTAGATGCAGTTTCCATTGCTGAAGCCTGCTGCCATTCATCACTGATCTCTATTCATTGAATTAGTGATAAGCCGAAAAAACTGAAGTCACCTGCCGCCATCTTGGTCCACCCCACTTTCACGGAATCACGCCATTAAAATGCCTGGAATGTAATGAAATTACCATAACAATGTAATTAATACATGTATATATTACATGTACATCATCAATTTAGCACTTTTGGCACATCATCAGACAGTGTGTGTGGGGGTGTGTGTGTACATTCTTAATATTTAAGTACAGTACTATTATGCTCCATTAATGCACTCATTTTGTTATGATGAATTTGTTTAATATGTTATATTAAATGATTATAAACTTCATAATAACTATGTAATATGATGTGCCTATTTTGACCTTAAATTACATTAATCTACTGATGCTATGAAACTTGAAGTGTGTGTCAAAGTGATGAATTTATCTTTGTTTTAAAGGTCTTATGTATTGTTTATATTCCGACTTGTCTTACTAGGGAGTACCAATATGGCGGCAGGTGACTTTACAGCAACATGTACCACCAACGGGGTATCAGCAATCCAGTGAATAAATAGAGATCAGTGACATTCACAGAAATTTCTCATGCAGGAGAAATAAAATAGAAAAGCAGCATGCGGTTGTTCCACTAGGGGGTGCTGCTCACCAAAATACTTATTCCCTGTTCAAGCTGGTGCTGTGTTAGTGAAGTAGAGCAACTACACAGCTTCTTTCATGCACTTTTCCAACTCAGAGGAATGCAGATTTAATTGTTACAACTTGGACTCACTGCCTGGATGATCAAGGTGGGCTCAGCTCCGGTGAGATACCTGAAAGTCGTCCACAGAGGGCACGGAGCGCTGCGCCGTTCGCCGGCGGTGCCACTGGTGCAGGGTGTTCCTGGCCTCAGAGCTCAGAATTTGGGCCGCCTGCTCCTCCTGGAAGTTCTTGATGAGGGCCATGGCGCCGTAAGCGCTGGTCAGGTAGTAACCACCTGGAGGGAAAGGAAATAAAACACAAAAACACAAGATTGAGTGAGCAGAAAAAAACTCTGACAACTGACTGATGAATCAACTTTGATCAGAACAGCAAACATCACTGTCAGCAAACATTTTCTTGTTTGTGAAATCCAGCTGAACAAGCAGCAAACTAAAAGGCAATGGAGATTCACAGAACGGTA